CATTAAATATTCAAGGCTTTTAGCTGACATACGCAGCTTTAGCAAACAATGGGAGGATTGGATAAAGACATCGCTTGAAAATCTTCCAGATGCTTTGTATCAAGCCAAGATGCCTGTAGCAAGACGATTTGTTCTTTCCCTCAAACGACAGGCATCCTTCCTCCATTTAGCTCAGGTTTGTAAAGTCTTTACAATTGGTTGTCTGCTAAATTGTCACTCAGGAATCATAATCATGACATTACACTCGGATTAGGGGTTTTTTTTTTAATCAAATCTTACTAATTATTGGTTTTAACATATTCTAATCGTCATGTGCCATTAGGCTTATACAATAACTGTTATTCTCTTTTTCGTTCCAAAAACCAACAACAGAATGAAGATATACAATCTGTACGTTTTAAGGACGTTATTACATAAAAAGTATAAAGACCCTAGTTTACAGATATCTTGGCATTTGCTAGGTTTAGCTTTTCCGGGGGTGGGGGATGTTATTCTATTAAGTTCCATCTGTTTTGGCAACAGCATAGTCACTTGCAGAGAAAGCTAAGTCTGTCCCAATAAGTCCCAATACTTTTTAAAGGGAATATGTGACTCAATAAATGTACTGTAGTTTCATACTCGTTTTATGTGTTACTGTTTCACGATGTTGAATAAAGCTCCGGTCCCGCGACGCCATAAAGTTGTTGAAATAAATGTATGTATGAATTATCCCCCATCATCATCATCATCATCATCATCGTCACCATTTGTATTATGCCTGCTGGCAGGTTCACAGCAGTTAACTTCTCAAATTTTATCTATCATTTATGATCTACATTTTGTGATGGCATAGGCTTCATTTGTTTCCTTCTAATAATTTAACACCATACTCTTTTTCTTCCTCCTCGAGGTCGCTTTCCTTCTACTCCATCTTCAATTAATATCTCTCAAAAGACCATCTCCTCTAAGTATAATGTCTAAACCATTTTTTGTATGTATTATATTATATGATTATATTGTATTTTACTGCTGAATTTAAGAGAATCACAATAACATGAAACGTCCTTCAAACACAGACAGCTCGGCCAGTTCTCTTCGATCAGGGTATCATTGACCATATGATAAAGGATATCGATCTCATCGACACCAACTGCATTGGTTCGCATGCGTTTTTGAGTCAAACAAATGAGGATGCAGATAACGAACTAAACACGGAATGTAAGTCCACATCCCTTTGACTTAATTATTCTGTGTGTTGTGGGGGACGAGAAAGTCGGAGGGGAGGGACTGTATCGGTGGTTTAAAAGAAATTGCTATATTTAATGTGTCAATGTTCTTGTTCTAACACTAGTTCTCGGGGAATTCAAGGAACTTTTGAAGAAACAAGCTACTGTGGAAGCATTTACTGAATGGTTGGATCAAGTAGTGGAGAGTAAAGTTTTAAAGGTAAATCAAACAACTAGGCTTGTAATGATAATATATATGCATAACTGCAAGACGAAGTTCTTCTTTTCACGTGTTACATATATATATATATATACATATATATACATACATATATATATATATATATGTATGTATATATATATATATTTATATTGTATATTGAAGCCTGGTTCTCACGAGAGCCCTAGTATCCGGATCGGGAGCTAACTGTTAGTGCTAACCGTTAGCACCTGCGTGAGAACGCCCGATCGGTTAACGCTAACCGTTAGCAGTATCCGGATACCGCTAACGGTAAGCAAGCGCTATCGGTTAGCAAGTTGAGCGTGTTTCTATCATCAACCAATCATAAGTACGCGTTTACAATTTCCAGTTTCTTATTGGCCAGTGATTCGATCATCATATT